ACTCTTACCCAAATTCCTAACTAAAAAGCTTGGGAAGTCACTGTCTGTTAAGGATTCACCAGAAAGGGTTTTATTACCCCAGATACTAAAGTTTGTTTTTCAACCTTATTCTGGTATAACATTACATAACAGATAAAGAAAGACAAACTGAAAAAATCAGAGGTGATTTCTTTGGTGAATGGTTCCTTCCCTGTCTGAATGCTGAAAACTTCCCTCCAGATCAGCAGCTTAACAACTATGATGCAGTGTGTCCCTGAGGGCTATGTATTCATATGTGGACAATGGAGAATACACTGGGCCTTTGTTTGTGGAAAGATACTGATTCAGGGCATTGTCTTTTGGAAATGCTGGTTGCTCCTGTGTCTGTTCATAATGCATCTGAAACAACTTATTGAACTGACTCTTTAAAATTGTTTACCCATCTTCCACAGGATCTCCCAGGAGGAATCCCAGATGGACACAGGTATTTTATTGCTTATATCTTGTTGCCTTAATGTGGAGTTGTGGTCCACCAACATGTGCTCAAAAAATGTATCTAAAACACAATTATTGCTAACGAAACCGTAACATCTTTAAGTCATTTGAAAACTTCTTTTGATTCCTTGGCTAAGGTAGTTTTAGACAATAGATCGGCTTTAGATTTCATTCTAGCTGAGCAAAGCGAAGTCTGTATGACTATTAATTCTTTTTGTTATTCCTATGTTAACATGTCTGCACAAGTGGAACCCAGAGAGCAAGCCACAAGGTTACAGCAGACCCTAGAACATCCCCCTTTTTAGATGGGGTCTTTGATGGAACTTTGAACTGGTTTTCTGATTTGTTTTTGAAGAGTTTCTCTGGCTTAAGAAATATCTTTTCAGGTATAGGTAAATTAGTAATAATAGATTTAATATGTGGTTTATTGTTTTATGTATTGTTTAAATGTTATGTATTTTGTATGATTTAAAACCCTCGAGCCTATGGCCAAAATTGTACATGACACAAGAAAACAGAGAGAAGAGGTCATTCAAATGTTCAGACAGAAAGTGCCAGCAACCCATGATAGAAATAATGGGTACACCTGACAGTGGGGAATGTTATAGGCTAAGGCTCTGGGAATGGGGGTTTCTTACATTTCTCGTGTTTGGTTCAAAGTTGTCTATCTAAATGTACCAAGGTAGCTTTTTTGATTGTTCTGACTTCCCATCTCCCCTTGAGGGACCATCAACATGATTAGGAGATCTCATGCCATGTCCAAACTGCCTGTAGGCCTTGTTAATTCAGTCTCAGGAGTGGATGAAGGATTAGATCTTGAGTCATGCTCTTGATAATTTAACCTCTTGTGAGTGAGGGGCTATGGAGTATACATTCTGATGAAGCTGTACTGCCTTTGAGTTTTTTTTTTTTTTATAATGATGCCACCCATCTCCCTGTAACCTGGTTGCAGAAATAAACTTCCCTTTCTCCCAGTTTCTGCCTCTCCTCTTTAACTGACCATGAAAGAAGCAGCTTGAAAGACAGTGGCGCCCAGTGAGACTCAACACCCGTTAAGGCCAAGAGATTTACTGGGTCTAACGTGGTGGGCTACAGGACCTGAGGGTCAGGCTGTAGCCCCGAGGCAAGGGCGCGACGGCCTTTATAGGGGCTTAGGGCGACCTGTCTGTCGTCTATAGGTCGGCTGGCAGAGTTTCATGTAGGTTACTGGGTTTTTTGCGGGCGCGGGAAAGGGTGCGGAGGGAGAACAAAGGAAGGCACTGTTTCAATCGTCATTTTATTTTATTTTATTTTATGTATTTATTTATCTATTTTTGAGTTGGAGTCTCACTCTGTCGCCCGGCCACTGCAGCCTCGACCTGCTAGGCTCCGGCGACCCTTCCGCCTCAGCCTTCCAAGTAGCCAGAATTACAGGCATGCGCTACCACGCCCGGCTGATTTTTTGATTGATTGTAGAGATGAGGTCCCTCTGCCCGGGTGGGTCTGGAACCGCGGGCTCAGGCAATCCACTCACCTCAGCCTCCCAAAGGTGCGGGATTGCAGGCTGAGCCACCGAGCCCGGCTTCAATCGCCATTTTAGTTTGCCGTGTCACCGTTTCCAGGAAAGGGAGGAGATGTGGCTTTACTTGTGGCTTGGCGGTGGCTCTTCACAGCTGAATTAGTTTATTTGGGAATAATACCTCACTGTAGCCTCAAAGCCTTAGGCTCAAGCAGTCCTTCTGCCTCAGCCTCTCAAGTAGTAGGGACTACGGGCATGTGCTACCATGCTCAAATAATAGCTTTTAGTTTAGTTGGTAGTTGACCACAGAGCTCTTTAAAAAAATATTTTCGAATCTCTCATATCATATAGTTGGGTCAAATAGCCAATTTTTCTGGATTTTGAACCTTTATCTTTTTCTTTCTTTTAAACCGAAGATCACTACCAAGTGACTCAGAACCCAAACCAATAGCTATTTATGATTTAATCATAGATATGCTAATAATTCCCAAAGAGGAACAAAGAAGAAGTCCTCACAAGATTCAGAGCCACTTCAAAAATAAATGGAAGAAAAAAAAGAGTCTTAGAGATGAACAGAAAAGCAATAGGTGTCCATAGACGGGAAAAGGATCAGTAATAAATGGATATCCTTAAAAGTCAAGTCATACAAATATAAATTAAAAACAAACAATTCAAACTCATGTTTACACTGTTTCTTATTTTCTCTTTAGTAAAAGGATTTAAATCTCCCAGGGACTAATTCCCTGACTGTGATCAGACTCAGGCTGTGTGGGAGTGAATGCATTAATTCCAGCAACTAGACTGCAGGCCAGAGTGCTCTATTCTTCTTCTTTTTTTTTTCAGTTTTTTTTTTTCTTTTTAAAGAGATGGTGTCTTGTTATGTTGTCAGGCTAGTCTTGAACTCCTGAGCTCAAGCAATCCTCCCCACCTTGGTCTTCCTTGCTGGGATTACAGGTGTGAGCCACTACACCTGGCACAGAGTGCCTCCTTTGTAAATTCCACAGGGGATCCAAAGGAGGCAGTTTGAATGGACAAAAATTTAACTCTGTTTTAAATTTGACTTCCTATTTTGATCTTGCCAAGGGATTTTTAAAGGTATATTTTCTTTTGTAGTTTTTCACAGGTTCCAGTAAGATAGCTGTTTAAGACAAGCACTCTGAAAAGTTTTATTTTAAATATATCCAGTTTATTTAGTCTGTAAGTGATTCAAAACCATAAGTCTTTTTCATGGAAAGTCCCAAGAGTAACTTTTTGTCTTTTAATTATTCTTTTAATAAATTTGTTCTAGAGATGGAGTCTTGCTTTGTTGCTCAGGCTGGAATACAATGACCAACTCCTGAGATCAAGTAGTTCTCTTGCTTCAGCCTTCCAAGTAGCTAGGATTACAGGTCCATCATGCCTGGCTAATTTTTAAAAATTTTTGTAAAGGTGGGGTTTCTCTGTCTTGCCTAAGCTAGTCTCAAACTCCTAGTCTCAAGTGATACTCACTCTCACCTCCCAAGATGTTGGAATTATAGGTGTAAGCCACTGTGCCTGGCCTTCCGAGGTAAATTTCCAGGTTTAGGATACCATAGACCTAAGTGGCATTTTAAAAATGGACACAGAAGATGCAAACTTCCATGATCCCCTCGAAGTTTACTCCCAGAAACAGGCTAAGACAGAAGAAGACTTCTTGTTATCATAGGTGAGGATGATGTTTTTGTATATAGTATTTCCAGTACTTAAATTTGTGAGAGTCCCCAACTCACAGACCTGGTTGATGCTTTTATACCATCGTGAGGTTAATCCATGACACTGGGTAGGCCCTCCTGGGATTAGACTTTCCCAGGACTACCAGGCAACAAGAGTTCAGATAACGAAAGCCCCTTATGAATGGAACTTTTATTAAGATAAGCTTTCCTGAGAGCTTGGTACATTTGAAACAAAGAATGTGCTGCATTAACATCTTACATGTCTTGGAGTTCCCAGTCCTTTCAGGCTGGCCACCAAACATTACTCCCCAGACGACAGAGAAAAAGAGAGATTGCTCCCACTCGCTCAGAAGTCAAGCTCTCAATGACATAAAATAAGATGAAAGGGACTGTTTATGACAAATGACACAGAAAGAGGCAAAGTACGAAATAAAATTATTTTTGAGAGAAAAAGTGATCCAATATGAATATTCGTATGAAAAAATACTCCAGAGTTGCTACACCTGGGACTAGCCTGTATAAATTATTTCCCCCCATTAATCTTAAATTTGGAAAGGAAAAAAAGAGACAAACCATGATTTTTATTTATTTTTTTATTTTTTACCATCTGCTCAAGTAGATTCCACAGACAGATACCCAGGAATCTGATTGGTAAGAAAGACTTACTTTTTTTTCTTTTCTTTTTTTTTTTTTTTTTTTGAGTTGGAGTGTCCGTCGCCCAGACTGGGGTGCAGTGGCCGCTCCCGGCCACCGCAGCCTCGACCTGCTG